CTTGTCTCCTCGTCTCTTATTCTCCTTGTCTCGTCTCTCGTCGTCTCGTCTATCCTGTTCTCTCCTCTCCTCTCCTCTCCTCTCCTCTCCTCTCCTCTCCTCTCCTCTCCTCTCCCCTCCTCTCCCCTCCTCTCCCCTCCTCTCCTCTCCTCTCCTCTCCTCTCGCTCTGCTCTCCTCTCTCCACTTCTGTTTTCTCTTTACTAAAGTTAACTTAATATTATAACTACTTATAATATTAAAAAATTTTAAGATGTTGTGCAAGTTTGAATTCATTTGAATAGTGGACCCGACCCATGCACCCACCCCTGACCCACCAGTACCCCTATGAAACGGCATTATCAATTGAAGTACCCATAAAGTTTATATAAAGTACCCGGTACTTTACTACATTAGTTTTCATGTTTTGTCCTATCACCCTATCTAATTTAGGTACTACCCCTTTCTTACAACAACACGCTACCCCCACCCTTGACACACTCTTCTACCCCCACCCATCAATCGACTACAGGGACCTCTAAGTACCCCCTACTTTCCCTCATTTTCATTTCCAAAGAGGGGGTGTTGAATTCCTCCCACCGGTACATAGCGATTCAGGACTGCCGCCATGAACACAGTCATAGATAGCAGGGCGCGCATGAAGATGCAGGAAGAAGAGTGAAGATGGCGGAAGGATGGGAGAGAGAAGATGAAGAACGGCAGAGGGAGGAGCGAGGGAGCAAAGGGATGCAAGATGGGCAGACTTGTAAGGACACAGTTCACAGGACGAGGGGAGCAGGGAGGGGGAGGAAGAATCGAAGAGTGTGGGCACAGATAGAATGGCGTATCAGGCAAGAAGTGGGTGAACACATCGTGAACATGGCTCAATGAATGCTTGGTTTGTCTGACCCTGTCTCAGGTCACCTGTACATGAAGGTCAGACGACGCGTCGCGGCTTGACAGTGACTCTCAGCTGCCCGCCATGCCTCCTCGTAGATATGGAAAGTCTTTGAAACCAGTGTTGATCTCTACCGCTCCTGTCCCTCTAGTCTCGGAGAAGAGCCAAGATGGGCATGACGTTGAGACTCTCTTGGAGGCTGGTGCTTCAACGACAGTCTTTGGAGAGCTGCTGGAGCCAGACTCAGCATGCAACTCGTTGGATGACTTCGACTTCTCTGACAACGTTTCTGCTTGGAAGGTGCAGGGTGAGAACAAGCTCAAGAGTTCCAAGGGGCCAGGCAAGGACTCGAGCGAACCCTTGCTCTCAGACCTCGCACACTCCAAGAGGTCGAACCAATCAGGCGAGTCGGACAGGAAAACAAAACAAGCGAGAAGCAGCAAAGAGCCGATAGCAATACAGCAGGTTTCAACGAGCTTTATTGGTGAATTCGGACAAGCACGAGCGAAGCTGGATGACATCGAGTTCGTTATCGACGGCTTGCAGTCCTCGCAGTCAACCGACGTGCGCATGGCTTCAACAGTCTCTCTTGTCAAGCTGTGCAGGGATGGTGAGATGCGCGCGCTCTTGCGAGCTCACTCGCTAGTCGACAAGGTGCTCGAGTGCTTGCAGAGCATCGCAGACACAGACGATTCTCTCATGCTGCCTGTTGCGGCTTCGCTCTTCTACTTGAGCCTCGACTCGGCCAACACTCAGATGCTGACTAGCGAGAGCTGCCGCCTGCTGTTTCAGGTTATGACGTCTCCCGCGTCCACCAAGGTGCAAATAACGCATCAGGTGCAAGAAGCAAAACCGATGAGGAGATTCCAAAAGCGAAAATCTGACGAGCCAACAGCAAACAAGTTCCATGACCTTGCTGGTAAAGTGATAGAGGTCTGCATCCAAGATTGCGATGTGCTTGAAATCCCGCCGCATGCCGAGGGGAAGGAAAGTTTCGTGACAGCTGAGCACCTCATGGTGTTGGCCTGCTCGCTGCTGCTCTCCAGGGACTCTTCTTTCCGTGAGTCTTTCCGGGCCATCGGCGGGCTTGAGAAAGGCTGCGAGCTGCTACAGGGATCACTCAAGCATACTGCCATGAAGAGACAGTCGTGGTGGGCTGACTCCCTCCAGCTCTATCGTATCGGAAGAGACCTGTCGCTGGTGGAGGCGATGACGTTCATGAGCGAGGCGAACCAACGAGGTGTGCTGGAACAAAGTTCGAGCGTCGTTGCCGGGCTGATCGGGTTGGTGTCGACAATCACTGAGGAGATCAGGGCGAGGGCTGAGCGAGACGAGATGAGCTCCAAGGTCGAGAAGTGTCGGCTCTCAGCCCTCAAGATCCTCGTCAACTTGACGAACCACAACGAGACCGGCTGGCGGCAGTTCGGCGCTTCGGGGGGCGTAGAGAAGATCTTCCATGTGCTCGAGGCCTGTAGCTCGACGAGCTCTGCTGACAGCTACGATGCGCTGACCCTGAGCCTGGGGCTGATCATCAACTGCGTTGAGTTGAGTGCTGAGAACAGAGAGCAGCTGCTTGTGGTCGAGGCCAGAGGCGGAAAGAAGTCGCTGGAGCTGCTGACGGAGATGTTTCGCTCCAAAGTGATCCTAGTGAATGGAGGGATCAAGTTCGACAAGATGAAGATCGAGGATCTCGTCCTGGCGGCCTACACCTCTGTCCTCATAGGCTGCAGTATCCAAGAGAGCCCAGCAGGACTGGAGGTGGTGAAGGAGGGGCTGGGGGAGTGGACGCTGCTGTCTCTGATTCAGGTGCTTGACTACTTCATCGTATGCCATCAGGAGGCGGACAAAGGTCAGACGGCCACAGAGGAGTTCATCAATTCTCTCCAGAGCGTCGTCAAGGTCCTCGCCAAGCTCGCGCGGCCCTGACGCTTGCTTGTGTACCATTATCTCTCCCAATAGATCCCAGCTCAGTCCAACATGTCCCCCACCCTCAACGGCGGATCCAAACCCTCGTGCAGGAGGGGACGAAGGGAGTCGTTGTGCTCCTCGCCCCCCAGCAGATCACCTGCCGCTTGTTGGCGTCGATGCCGCACGAGAAGTCTTGACCCGCTGCCATGGCCTCGAACCTTCGGTTGGGGGCTGCAGCCTGACCCTCCAGGTTCCTTCCCCAGCAGAGCCCTCCTCCGTTGGCCTTTACAGCACATGAGTGCCTCCCCCCCGCACTGACGGAGGTGAAGTAGCCTGAGACGTTGCTCGCCTGCCCGAACTCGTTGCTCCCCCAGCACACCATCTGCTTCTTCTCGTCTATGGCGCACGAGTGCTTCCATCCAGCTGAGACCCACGTGAACTTCCCAGCTGGCGCTCTCGCTTGCCCGTCCGTGTTCTTCCCCCAGCACCGCACCGCTCCTCGTCGCCGCGTCACGTCCTCCGCGTCCACAGCCTCAAGCGCGCAGGAGTGCATGGAGCCGGAGCTGATCATGACGAAGTTGGAGGAGGGAGGGTTGCGGAGCTGTCCCTCGCGGTTGTCTCCGAAGCATGCAATGCTCCTGTTGCTGAGCAGCAAGCAGACGTGCGCTGCCCCGGCGCTGATCTGGAGGGCGACGAGGGAGGGAGGGGGAGAGGCGCGCTGGAAAGAGTTGCTTCCCCAGCAGACAGGGTGGCGGCTGAAGAGGGAGAGGGCGCAGGAGAAGTGGTCGCCTGCCGTTACCTGCTCGAACTTCCCAGCTGGCCCCTCGCTCTGCCTCGCGTCGTTGAGCCCCCAGCACTGAACCCCGTCGTTGACGTTGACAGCGCACGCGTGCCCGGCCCCAGCTGAGAGAGCCCCCGCTAGCGCCTTCTTGGTCAGCACGCCGTCCGTGACCTCGAGCTCCTGCAGGGTGGCGGCCAGCTGCTCTCTGAGCTCGTCTCTCCTCATCTCGAGAGCTCTCTTCGCCGACTCCAGCCCCTGCATCTGCTCCACGTACTGCAGCTCGAGCACAGCTCGGAAGTCTCTGGCCTGCTGGAGGAGGCTCAGCCTCTGCGTGTAGATCTTCCCCTCGGTGATGAGGGCGTTGATGTTGGTCGTGTAGTCGGTCAGCTGCCCGTCGAACCAGCTTCTGTCCCTCTCGTGCTGCAGCTCCGCCATCCTCGCCGCCTGGTAGGCTGCCGTCAGCTGCTCCTCCACCTGCAGCATCTGCCTCGTTCCCTGCGTCTGCAGCCATCGGATCCTCGCCTGAACGGCCTCGCTCTCGCGCATCGAGTCGCAGTCGAGGAAGCTTCTGTTGGGGTACAGCTCCTTCCTCCTTCCCTCCCCGCACTTCACCTCCATCCGCTGCACGTCCCCCAGCAGCGTCACGTTGCGACTCTTCCCCGTCGCCCCCGCCAGCACGTAGAGGCTTCCGGTCAGCATTGCCACCATCACGTGCGCGAGGCGGTCGGGGATGCTGACGTCACTCGCCACCTGCCGCCACGTGAGGTCGGAGAGGGTCAGGTAGTGAACGTCTCCCAGCAGCCGCACGCTCTTGGAGACCAGCTCCATCTCCATCCCCCCGTACACCCACATCCTCCCTCCCTTCACAGCCGCCGCATGCCCAGCCCGGGGAGCCGGAGGCTGACCGAGGGCGACGGGTCGCTTCCACCTCTGCGATCGCACGGAGAAGACGGAGAGGTCGTTGAGCAGAAGTCCCAGCTGCGCCTGCCCCCCGAACAGGATCAGGTTGTCGCCTCCGTCCGCCACCAGCGTGTGGTGAGACCTGGCGGCAGGGAGGTCGGGGAGGGAGCTGAGAGACGTCCAGACGTTGGAGGAGGTGTTGAAGGAGAAGAAATCGCCGAGCTTCACGTCCAGCTGAAGGCTCAGGTTGAGGTAGGGCAGCAGGCTCTCCTGCACCGGCAGGACCTGCGAGGGCACGCGACCTCCGAAGAGGAACATGCGCTCTTGGAACATGACGGCAGCATGGTGGCTCCTCGCCTCCGGTCGCGCTCCCTCCTGCTTCACCTCTGACCACGAGAAACCCCTCGGCAGCGTCCTCACCCGCATGCCCTTGATCCCCCACCACAAATCCAGCTCGTTCGGATCAGCCGACGTCACGTTGATAGTCAGCCGCAAAGTCGACGAGTTGTGAGGAAGAGTCACGTTGACCTTGATCCTCCTCTCCCCCAGCAGGCCCCCGGCTGCCTGCTCGCCGCACTCGTTCCTGTCCGTGATGTTGGAGTAGAGCGACTGAGACCAGACGAGCGTCTGGTCGACCAACAGCTGGGCGGTCGCGCCCTGCCAGAGGTCGATCTTGATGAAGTCGAAGGAGAGGGAGACGGCTGTGTGCGAGGAGCTGATGCTGTACAGCTTGCTGATGCTGCTCCTGTACCCCAGCTGTTGATACCCTCCCAGGATCGTTCCAAACTCCCCGCAGATCGACGTCGCCGACACTCCGACCCAGTTCTGAGTACCGTACACATAGTCCTCTACCGCCCAAACCTTCCGGTCGTAGGCGGCGGCGACGGTCAGTCCATTTCCAGCTGTGCTGAGGGCGAAGAGCTGATTTGACACACTGTCAAGCTCGTCCACCCCTCCAAACACCCACATGACGTTCTGGGGGACAGCTGGAGTCTTCCGGGCGTGGGGATCGGAGAGGAGGAAGTGAGACCCTTCGGCGAGGAGGCTCGAGAGCGCGGGGATGATGTTGTATCTTCCAGCTGCGTTGTAGGAGATCACTCCCTCGTACCCCGCCAGCGGGCCTGACACCACCTGCAACCGCCACCCGCTCCACAGGGAGGAGCCCTGGGCCGGCACGTCCTGCAGTCGCTTCCCCCCCTCCTCTGTCGTCACCTCCAGCACTACGCAGCTGCACCCTCTTGCGCTTTCCCTGCAGGGCTGCGAGCCCGTCAGCACGTGCGTCTCGACCCCACCTGAGCAGGCAGACAAGGAGCCTCCTAGCACGAAGTGACCTCTGATCGCCTCCAGCTGGGGTTGTGTTGGGTGCCCGCTGGCGTCGAAGAGCGTGTCATGCGGCTTCAGCAGCCCCCCGTACGACTCCTGCGTGGGGTACGGCATCGGCCTGGCCGCCCCAGCTCCTGTCCAGCAGGCAGAGTGACCCCATCGCGCCGGAGGGCTGCCTCCTACCTCGACCTCGGACAAGCTGCCATCTGCCCGTCATGTCACACAAGATTCAAGCGAAGCGAGGAGACGTAGAGAGAGACGAGGGAGGGGGAGGAAGGGAGGAAAGAGGACCGCGGGGGTTGAAGTAGAGAGTGTCGTTTCTCGCTCCCTCGACGTCTCTTCCCCCGAAGATGATCAGGTTCCCTTGCCAGTCAGGAAACAGCTGCTCCCCTACATTCTCCACGTGCTCCACTGCCGTCGCGTACTCGCGGGCAATCGATATGCTGATGTTTGAAAGCATGCTGCTGATGTTGTAGCTGCTCCAGGCGATGCTCAACACCTCCTTCCCTGCTGCTACATCAGATGCCCAAGAACAAGAGAATGAGAGTGCATGTTAGATACTACAAGACAAGACAAGCTTGTGACTGCACAAGTGGAGAATGTTGTTTAGCTATACCTTCACATGTGGTTTCTTGCAGTTGTCCGTAGACCAGAACAGCGCCTCCTCCTCGATCTATCCACAAGCTTCCGCTCAGCATGAGCAGCACTACGGCAAGGAGGAGGGTCGTCCGATGCATGTCTAAGCCTCCGTCTTCTGACGGTCTTCCAGCTCTCTGCTCGGTAAGTACTGTCAGTCTGTTTGTTCTTGGTACGGCTCCATCCCCTTCTCAAATTCACTCCTCTGCTCTGCTCTGCTCTGCTCTGCCCTGCCCTGCCCTGCCCTGCCCTCTCGTCTCGTCTCGTCTCGTCTCCTCTCGTCTCCTCTCTCCCTCCTCCCTGTCCTTCCCTGTCCTCCCCTGTCCTCCCCTCTCGTCCTCCTCTCGTCTCTC